TCATGTGCAACTCAGAGTGACTGACCGCATTTCAGAAAGAACAAATATAACACAGTTTCTTAGTGAACAATACCTTTAAAGGGGACCTGTCATGAAAAAATCACATTTTGCATCCTTTTGTGCTGCCATGTGGGTCTCTATTCCTCTGTAAATACTCTAACCTGAAAAAAGCCCATCCATCCATCCATCCATCCATCCATCCATCCATCCATCCATCCATTTCTGTCAGTGTTTGGTTTTAGGAATCGTTTGCCTAAAACAAGCTGTTTCTAAAAGTCTTTGTTTGTGATGTCACAAACAGGGAAATTAACAAAGAATAACCTCTCACCTGGAGTAGAGCCACTTCTGTTGGAAGAGCCCTTCCCTTACACTGGAGCTTCTCATGGGGGATGGGTGGTCGTGGTGTGCAGCAGCTTGCTAATAGCCTGGCAAGCCAGACTAAATAAATGTATTATTTAACTGCACAAACTTTGCAACGCAGGAATTTGATCTAGTTCAATAGGCTAGCTTGCTAAGTGATCAAGACCTAAAGTGACTCATTCTTGAAGGTCATTAAACTATTAAAAATAAAACTGCTAAAATTGCTTCATGTGAGATGGACTTTGTGCAAAACATTTCATAAAAACGTTTTGCATTGACCACAGAACTATTATAACTTAAGTAAAGAAGTCAAAATGTCTCCTTTTAGTAGCTTAAACTTCCTAACTGTCTGTAATGGATGGTATTACTTCCTTATATTGTTGCACTAAATGGAAAGTACGATCTGTTGAAGTGGTTTAATATTTTAGTAGTTTTTTTTTTGTAAAACAGCTTACTCCACACCACTGAGGTAGGTTAAAATAGCTGATATGAATCATTTAAATTTGATAAGTTAAAAAGTGCAGCTGCCTCTTTATGCAGCCACCAGTAATCAGGTCGAGGTCCCCCTGCCATCAAACCGCTGTCATGCTTTAACAGACATTCCTAAATGAAGGGGTGTCTATTGAAGGACAAAGTTACCTTGTTTGGTTCAGTGGATATGGTGTCATCCTCACCATTCCCAGGCCTGGAAAACACTTTATATCTCTTTCTGTCCCAACGTTGTGGACACCTGAGAAGACAGTGAAGGACAATGGGGGAGGATCTTTGTGTGTTCACTAATAATAATGGGAATTGTGGAACCTTTTTTTGCAAAGGAAACCCCAAAGCACGTCTTGTTCGAGTGTATTTCCTCAGTAGGTGCAAATAATTGAGATCAGAAGATCGAAACTGAAAAGCAGACCACAAATGTGAACAAAGGGAAGATCGGTGGTCTAGTGTAGCATCTATCTGGGGTGGCATATCTCTGTGTGTGCGTGCGTGTGTGTGTGTGTGTGTGTGAGTGTGTGAGTGAGTGAGTGAGTGAGAGAGAGACTCTGCCCTGATGTGTTGTGAAGCCACCTTTAAGACATTGCGTAACCCTCCATTCCTACTTGAGGATGATTGCGTTACATTTATTTATTTATTAGCTGATAAATGAAAGACATGTTTATTCTCTTATGCAGATTTTATAAAATGTTCTGTAAATCTAAAAGTAATTTTAGGTTACTTTGGTGTAGTAGTGTGGGTCTTTAACACTTAGTGCTTTATTCCAGCGCCCCTCAGGATCTGGTCAGTTTCTGGAAGTCTTCCAGTTGACCATGTGGTCGAAGGAAAATTGGAGCAGAAGGTGAACCTTCACTGCTGCTGTTTAGCCAGAACTCCTCCTGGCCTATATTTAATTATTCAGCCCAAGCCCGTCTCTTGTTGTGCGACTGTGGCAAATGATAGCTTTTCTCTACTTGGGACTTTTCCATTTCAATCTGTTCGTCTAGTCGTGTGTTTAATCTGCGTAATAGCATTTCAGGCTAAGTGAATCTGTTTTTATGTGGGGATAAGAGAAAGAAAGTTGTGCCTTTAGTTAATTTTTAAGACAGAGAAGAATAATTGTGGCCCAGAGGGTTATTTTTAAATTAGCCTTGGAGAAATATTTATCAGTTTCCTGAAACACTTGTGAGATTACCATGAAGAAACGTTCATAATCTGGATTGCAGATCATGCAAACTCTAACCCAGCTGTCATACACACCACATGATTCTATAGGCTTTGGTAACATCCTCATATTACTCCTTTTTCCCTTAATTTCTTGTCATATTGTATTTTATTTTGACATAATTTAAGGGGTCATAAGAGATACTAAATAATCAAGTTAGTCATGGCTTGATGCCTAAAATCTAACTATGTGATACTGCAGCGTGCCAATCCCATAATGATGGCTGCTGTGTGAAGTTTTCTTCAGATCATCCCTAAAATTCTCAGAGGGATTGGAATCTGGACTCCTCGGGGATAATTCATCCATGAAAACAATGTCTCATGATCTCTGGACCGATTATTTGCACCTTTAATTCTATTAATTTTGGACTATATTATTTTATTTGCATTTGTGAGATTTAAGTTCATTTAACAACAGAAGGATGACGAGAACATAGTTGAGTGCAATACTTTTCCACGGGGAGTTTCTCGCCTGTTTTTGCAGAGACAAATTCATGTGGGGACGTATGTTTTCAGCCAGGCTTCATATATGTTTGTATTCTGTTGCTTTTAGGATGTTCTGAATCAAATCCTCTAAGGTTGGGCGATTGGGTGAATTCATCAACCTTTGATTATAGACCAAGCACCTAACGATCATTTTTACATTTTTTTTAGAACATTACATACTTCCAGGTCAAAGCTGTGTGTTTTTGCTACATTCCTTCTATGTACATGTAGATATTATATATATATATATAATTTAAAAGCTAGGATTTGTGTAATTCCAAGTATACCAGTCCAGATTACAATCAAAACGGCAGACACTGTAAACGCTGTTGTCAAACACTCAAATTCAAGATAATGTCTAACTATCTTGGAAAGGTTCATATCATTGTTAGGCTGTCCCCATCTCTGCCAGTCTTTGAGTCGCCTAAAAACACACTTTCTCCGCTTGGCGTTTCCTGAACATGTTTGATTTTGGCCCTCTTTTATGTTGAATTTATTTCACAGTTTTCATTGGTTCACTCTATCCATTGTTTTACACATTTGTCCTGTACCAGAATGTTTCACCTTTTTTGTGATTTGTATTTTGTCATTTGAACTGCTTTTATTTTTGATTTATTCAATATATTTACCTTCTGCTGTACCATGTTCAGCGCCTTGGGCTTCCTGACAGGGTTGCGGAAGGAGCTTTATAAATAAAGCTTTGATTGATTGATTGATTGATTGATTGATTGATTGAAAATAGAGCCATTTTAATAAAAACAGGCTTTTTACATCCACAAAGGTCTAATTAATGTCCTCCCTTGAAAGTTAGTCCACAACAAGTCCTCCGTCCACAGCATAATATATCTCTGAAAGCAAAGAAAATTCTGTCACATGCAACATAACTTTTATTAACATTATCATATTAGCTTCAAACATCTAATCAGAATCTGAGGTGTACCTACAATACCTCTGTTGAGGAAAAATCTTCCGCTAGTGGCCAATAGGTCTAAAGACTGATTCATGCTTCTGCGTCAGTGCGGAGACACGCAACGCCATTATCCGTCCTTGCGGGCCTGTTGGAGAGCCCCGCAAGGACGTACGGAGTCGAGCTCTCTTTTCTAAACATTCGTCCGTCGAGACGGAGAACGCAAGCTTGTGATTGGTCAGGGCACCGCAGTCGTCTACACCGCCGCCATTGCACCTTCAAAAACACAAAGAGAGCTGAGAATAACTAGCGGCAGACATGGAGAAGTTTGAAGAATACCTCGCAAAAAAACTCTAAAAATATGACCGTTTAATTCCCCCGTGACTGGAGGAGTGAAAAGATGCGCAGCAAGCGTTTTATTTGTGGACGGAAATGACAGGAAACGTGGGTTTAGAGGTGGCGAGCCCATGAAGAGGTGAATGAAGATGAGAGACAAATTTATCCGTGTTAAAAAGTCTCTTATATTCAAAAAACACAACATAAACACACTATCTTGGACCGATACATGACAGGATACCACAGAACAGCGCTACGCCCTCTGTTGTCCTGGCGGGGAATTGCTTTGCAACACTCCCCAGGAGATGGAGAAGTATGAGGGCAAAATGTCTCCGTCCGTGCGTGTCTCTCCCTGTTGGAGCTGACGGAGAAGCATGAATCAGGCTTAAGTGCCACCCCCTATTTTTACGTGTGTACCTCAAACCAATTGCGATGCAGTATATTGGTTGACACATCAAATGGCCAAAGAAGTTCAGGAAAACGATAATCTCTCACGAGAGGAACCTTCGTGGTCTGCTCCCACAATTAGACTAACGGTTGTGAAGGGTGGATCACTGCGTGCATTGTGGGTCAGGCCCACAAAATGTCTAAACATAACCAGCACGACTATATAATAATAATGATCTTAGTTCTTATAGGCTGGTGTTCTATAAAACAAAGATATTTTTGGACAGTCTGACTTGTCATCAACACAAAAAGATATAAAAACGATGTTTTTAACAACTCCGACAAAAGTGGACATTTGCCAATTATCTGTCGTCGGCATTTTCTTGTGGACGTAAACAACTGGGGTTTTAGGTTTCTCAACGTCGCTGTCTGCATCAGAAATGCTCTGAAATCCCACGTGTGACCGACGGTTGCATATTTTTATGGTCATTAGTTAACATTCCCTTGCTTTTTTTACGAACACAATTAATTATTCCACATCCAAAGAATGTTTTTCAGCTAAGATATTGACGATTTAGGGAACTACTGCCCCCTACGGGCTTGGCATACAATTGAATGTACTTCAGAATGCACTTGACTTCTTTCTGCAGAAAAAGAGGTGGTTGAAACCCCCTTATGTTAGATGGGCGGGGTAGTTACATGGCCTTTAAAAAAACCCATAAACTCTGGATTTGGTTATGCACACATAAATGTATGTGTGAATAAAACATAGCAGAAAAAGTGCTCCATCACATCTTGTTTTGCTCACTGAGACTTATTTGTTTTTTTCCCACAGATATTATTGACAAGAGTGAACTCAAGGCCTTCTTTGAGAGCAACTCCTCACAGATTTATTTTATCTTCTATGAAAATTTCATTACACTGGAAAGCAACTTAAAACAAAAAGGTGAGTATGAAATGTTTTATTTATTTATTTATTTTTTTTTTTTTTTACTGAACACAGGAAAGTTAACCACCACCTTCAGTGGTAGTTTAATGGTTAACCCTCTCTCTGCTGCCAATGCCCAGGTTATTGCAAAGGTTATTTATTTTCTGACCCACTTTTCTTTTTTTTTTTTTTTTTTGCTTTCGCAGCAGTCTTTGGTCAACAGTGAAATTCCCTTTCTTTGTGTTTCAGGGATCAAATCTCAAAGGGAGGAGCTGGACTCTATCCTTTTTATTTTTGAAGTAAGTCACCTGCTATTTGCTGACGTCTTAAGTCCACTTATAACTGTAGGAGCATAGGTGCAGTCGTGCAATTGCTGCAATTCTGCTCATTTCCTGAATTTACTGCATAAACCGTGGAAATCTGGAGGAGATTATGCAAAAGGAAGAAGAATGTTTCAGCACAATCATTTTCTGTGTTTATCTTGCTTATTAAAACACTGTTGTGTATGCAGATCTAAGAGGGCATGTCCTTTGTGTGCAAGATGATGGGTTAAAGTCCTTTACGTTGTTTTTTCAGTTTCTTTCTCCTGACTGCAAAAGCAGCTCAAGTTTCGAGTACAAACATTCTGCTCTCTGGTTACTTTTGCTGTGGGCAAGTTTGTAAAAATGGACGCAGATCTAGATGGAAGGCAGTGTTTTCCTATTTCTTCCTTTTGTACCCAAGTGTTTTGTTCAAATGTCACATGTCACTGGGGAACAAAGCCAGAGTGTGCATCTGAATAATTTTTCTTCATAGAGCTCTGATAAACATAGTTTCTAATTCTTATTAGAAGTTTGAATATCATATTTTTTTATGCCTCTTTTCTCCAATAAACTCCCCCTGCTTGTCAGTGAACATCCAGTCATCTGACCTGTAAATAAATCCTGGATCCACTCCTCTTCCATATTTATGGAGTCAATATTGAAAGCAGCTTAACCCTCATTTGTCCCCTTTTAGCCCTGCTTGTGACAACGTGCACTTTCGCTTGTGTGCTGAGTAGATAAGCTTGCTTTGAGTGGTGTGAACAGGACAGATACAGTTGTTGCTTTGGTCCTGAGCTCCAGTGCTCTCAGTGGACTCTTTACACCATGTTAGATTACAAAATCGTAATCATAAATGGTGAAGTTGATATTGTTGGTGTCAGGCAAAACCAGATTTTATAATTAGAGATAGACTGATGCAGGTTTTCCTATCATCAATGCTGATTTCTTTTTAGGCCATTATCTGGACCCTTTATGCCTAATTTGCACGCTAACATTTTTTTTAAATGTGCTGTGGTCTTTAGTATAAACGAAGGCCTTGTGAGTCGTTTTCTGTGGAGAAATAAAACTTAGTTGGAGGACTAAGAGGTGGAAATGGGAATGATTAAGTATTCCTCATTAATATTCATAATATGCAAACATCTCGCCCCAACTGGCTAACAGCAACACAACTCTTCTGCTGCATTTCATTCATCATTCTTGGGTAAAAAGTACAACCGTGATGTTATCTCCACAAATACCACTGGCTCTAATAGGTCCGCCATGTGGTGGAGTTACTAATGCTAATTGTTAGCTTCAACTAGCAGAGATGCTCTTGGGTGTGAAAAGTCACAAATGCTAATTTTCCTTATTACATAGAAGACGCTTACTTTTTTTGACCCAATTGTTTTCCCGTCTGTTTCCTTTCTCAATTCAATTCAAAGATACTTTATTAATCCCAGAGGGAAATTAGAGTTTAAGTACACACAATTCTGAGATCAGACATACATACATAGACACATGACAAGAATTGGTGACTGTGGTCATTCGCAGCCCAAGTCGCGCTACCTTAATAGAGACCAGAGGGGTTTATATGAGGATTGAGTCAGGTGGAGGAAATAAAGGCACTTCAGAGTTACCCGCCACAGGGAGGGCAGCTTTGCTCTGCAAAAAACACCTCAGACAGAAATGCAACAGACTTCAGGCATTACACAACATAAGTGTCCACTAGGTGGGGAGGTAGGGTAGAGGACTCTCCAAACATCAGTGCATGCAGCCACGATAAGCAGCGCTCGTCACCTCCGTCTGGCCGGGGGGTGTTGGGTTTAGAGAGCACAGTGACTCCTGGAACGATTCGACGGCCGTCACCGGTCGCATTCCCGCCCAGGCTAGGATCGGGAAACAGTTTCCATGGCGACGGCAGCATTCCGCATTTCTTCTGAGGGGGAGTTATCACTTCAGCCTCACAGGCTCAAGGGCACCAGATTCAGATAAGAACTTGTTTTGGGGCCAGACAGAGATAATTTCCTCTCTGTCTTAAAGTTCCGTTGGTCCTCAACCCCCCTCAATCCAATAATGGCGTAGTTAATCAATCCCTATCCGTGCTGACCCGTCAACTCTATCCTTGATGGCATCAACCTTCTGTGCCAGAGTCTGAATCTCAGCCAAAATTCCAGCTTATGACTCATCTCGACAGTTATGAGTCTGTGCGTTCACAGCGAGGTGTAATCCATCCCTGAGTTCCGGGATTGAGCCAATATTCCTCGACAGCTCACTAATTTTCCTGTAAGCCGGATAACCACACAGGCCAAAAAGCAGGAAACCTGACACCAACACAACGAATATCCAGACGCCTTTAGAATCCACTACAGACAGTTGGGAGAGGCAGATCAAGTTCCACTGTTTCCAGGAGTCCACGATATGTCCAACTGGCTCTGTGCCAGAGGGGCAACCGGGAGCCCTTCTTCTCCCGTTCTCATCGTTGAAAAAATCTTGTCAATCGCGTTGAGAGACCAACTGACCAGGTCCATTTTTAATCATTTCCAGTTTACAGAAAAAAGGCAGAAGCGCCGTGCACCCAAAGACAGACCCAAAGAAGAGCCTTGAGATAAAATAGGGAGGAGAGAAGGAAAAAAATGTCTACTCTTCAAGAGCCGGAAGAAGACTGCTAATGCTGCTGCTAATGCGGTGATGGGAGTTGAAGGAAATGTCCACGTTCTAGCCTCCTCTGTTTAATTCTGCACAGAGAAAGCGTCTGGTGACTTACAGGCAGAGAGGCACTCAAGGGGCGGGACTAGGCAGCTCAAAAATAACCAATCAGAAGAAAGACTGCAATGCCGACTGTGTCACGATGCTGTAGTAAAAAAAGGTGTCTGGCAGCGGCACAAACCTTTTATTTCATTTTTTTGTAGAAGAAAGGCTTTTAGCTAGGGCTGCACGATATTAGGAAAACCTGCGATATTCAATAACAGTGACTAATACTGCGATGACGATATTACTTGCGATAAATAAAAATTTAACCCAGGAACAAAAATCATCAAAAACAAAGAAATGAAAAAATGACTAAAAAAATCATAAAAATGAACAAGAAAAGGCAATCAGTGGATACCGAGAAAAGCAGAATCAGCAGAAAGAGCAGAACAAAGCTAACTCGGGTGTTTGCTAACCATCCTAATTAAGTGCCGTCCGCCTCGGGGGCGGGCGTCTAACATGAGAACCCACCCGATTGGCCAAATGGGTGAAGAGCTCTATTTGATTTGTTTAAAAAACATCATGCTTCTGTTTGTTTGACAGAATGCATTATGTGGAGCAAACATTTGAGCTGACCACTCATTATGATATTTATCTGTTCTTTGTGATGTGCGTATTGCGCATGCTGATATCGCGATAACGATATATTTATGATGTATTGTGCAGCCCTACTTTTAGCTACTTCTACTAGAACAAAGGAAAGAGCCGCTGCGAACTCCGCTTCAGTCGCCATGTTTATGACAAACTCGGCGTTATGGTGTGTGATGTACGATACTCGGCGCTGATTGGCTCGGTTAGAATTCTCAGGGGGCGGGGTTATTTGAATAGGAGAGTTCCCAGACCCTTTCTCTGTGCAGAATTAAACAGAGGAGTCTGGCAGGCCAGGCTGTTCACGTTAAGCACAAATCATTCTATTCTATTCTATTCTAGTCTATTCTATTATGCAACTTGTATTTCAAATGAGAACTTTAACCAGAATTATTCAAACTAACCAAGAATTAAATAAACATCAGGTGAATAAAAACAATGCCGGTTGACAGTAATGGTTTGGAGCATTTATTAAGCGGATGCTTTTCTGGAACGTAAAACAATAAAACGTACAACCGTAGAGTGTAGATAAAACATAACCTGAAAATAAAACTAATAAAAATAGTGCAGACGACAAGAAAAGGCATTATAAGTGCTTAAATCCATTTTTTTTCTTCCTTTTTTCTTCATATACGCTATAAATGAAACGGGGATTTCTGAGACTGGATATTGAAACTCACTATCTGGATATCCGCAGAAGTGTCTGACTTTAAACTGGCTCTTCTAAAGCATACCAGTTCGTTTCACTGTAATGAAAAATAGTAAAATCTGATTTACTCACAGAAATCAAGACCTAAGCTCTTGCAGCCTTTGTCCATCCTGCCTCTATCCAGTGTTTACATTGGTCGGAATAATGTCTGCAACAGAATCCATTTTGCAGCTCAAAGCTTCACAGACACACTTTAATGCTGAATGACAGGTCAAGAAGAATAACACCAGTCAGCATTGCTGCCCCTGGATTTCTCCAGAAAGATGAGACTATGTCCTCAGGTCACCAAACCAACAAACGATAGTTCCCTCCATGTATTATCCCACCAACGCATGCAAATATCTTGAGGAGGGAGTCTTTTGTCCCTCCCTCCCTGTACGCACCTTTGAAGCACCCCACCCCCTTTCCTCCAGCAGCCATCGCTGTTGCAAAATGCGTCTACAACCACAGCTGCTGATGCTGAGCCAGAACTCACCGATAACGCCCCTTTTTTCTTTGGAATGGTGAATTTTTGAAAGAATACTTTAAAAATGCCTTCCTTTAAATGATTTCTATTGAAATCTGTTTCTTTACTGAGACCAAGTTTAAATTCATTGGGCTGTTTTTTCCATCACAAGACCAGATTGAGCTTCTCAGCCCTAAGGGACTCCCGACTTGTTTACGCTCCCGCATGACTGTTGATGACCTCTTGCTGTCTTGAGTGCTTGTTTATCTTGGTGCCTGCGAGGTTGTGGGACAGGTTAAGGGACAGCCATGGCAGCAGAGGAAAGTCTGCATGTCCCTTTTCTCTCCAGGAAGTGACTTCACCATGACCTCGTGTCAGTCACTCGGACCTGACTCAGCGTTAAACATTTCCTTTGCGAGCTCATCTGTAAATTCCCCCATCTTGATAATCTTGTTGCCCCCTTTTTTAAAGATGACTTTGAAGTATTTATGCCTTGATTGAGAATCCTATGACTATTTTTAGCCTTCG